TTGAAAGACAGGTACATGATCAATATCTTTCCCATAGAATCGTTCAAGGTTGCCACTTGAGGCTTAACATTTTTCTTCAGTTTTTTCAGTTTAAGATGTGCTGAGCATATTCTTTCCTTTCGGTTTCCTAACTATAGGTCTTTGCACATTTCATTATATTTGACATTGTCTTTTTGAACTGGCCTTGAAATGTTCTATTCAGCTCTTTGACAAACTAGATAGCCTTGAGAAGAATGGGAATTCTAGAACACTTTATTGTGCTAATGCAGAACTTATACATGGATCAAGAGGCAGTTGTGCGAACCAAACAAAGGGATACTGTGTGGTTTTAAATCAGGAAAGGTGTGCATCAGGGTCGTATCCTTTCACAATACTTATTCAATTTGTATGCTGAGCAAATCATCAGAGAAGCTAGGTCATATGAAGAAGAGGGTGGCATCAGTATTGGAGGAAGGCTTCTTAACAACCTTAGATATGCAGAGGACACAACCTTGCTTGCTGAAAGCGAGGAGGACTTGAAGCACTTTGTGATGAAAATCAGGGATTGTAGCCTTCAGTATGGATTACAACTCAATGTAAGAAAGACTAACATCCTCACAACTGAGCCAATAGGTAATATCATGATGAATGGAGAAAGGGTTGAAGTTGACAAGAATTTTGTCTTGGTTGGGACCATAATCAATGCAGGTGGACGCAGCAGTCAAGAGATCAAAAAATGCTCTACGTGAGATAAATATGCGGCACAAGACCTCTTTAGAGCATTGAAAAGCAAGGCTGTTTCTTACACACTAAACGCACCTGACCAAGCCATGATATTTTCATTTGCCTCATATGCTTGTTATGTTGCACATTGAATCAGGAAGACCATAGAAGAATGGATGCATTTGAATAGTGCTGCTGACAAAAAATATCGACAGTATGGGCTGCCAAATCTATCTTGGAAGAATTACAGAAGGCCAGAGTGCTCCTTAGAGACATGGCCATGCTCGTCCTCTCGCCATGTTCTTGAAGGCCTAATTGCGTGGCTGTTCAATTGCAGGACGTAATTTGTACCAAACTAATCATTCAAGGAGGAGCCCTGTGTAGTGGGTCACATGTTAGGCTGCTAACGTCAAGGTCCACAGCTCAAACTCACTAGCCACTCTGTGTGACAATGATATTTTAGAAGGTTTTATAAGGTTTATCTGCCCTTATAAATACCTCCACGGAAACTCCCAGGATCAGTGCTGTCTTATAGGACCACTATGAGCTGAAATCAACCTGACAGCAGTTAAGTTTTAAGTAATGGTATAGTTTCCTTTTTTAGTGGTTTCTGATAGTTTCTAATACAACAGATAGTTTTATTATTTTATTACAGCTACCATATTTTATACGTTTTAATGTTATAGACCTCTTCAGTTTCTTTTTAGACAGAGTTGATATGCAGATTAAGGAATAATAATATAAAATTACAGTCCACTGGTATTAGTTTTAATATAAAAGTATTTTAACATATTTTATTTACAAAGATTTCCCCAAATTTGTTTCTGTCATTTTTAGAGAATTTCTGTTTCTGTGCCTTTTATATATTTTAATTTGTAATGATTTTTATTTAAATTTTCTCTACTTTGTAATTTGAGAATCTTGCATACAAGGTGTTGCATTTTCAGAAGATATTTTCCAGTTGGCAGCAACCTTATATAACTGCATCTGCTCCCCTCCGCAGGTAAAATAGCTATTATGGATCATTTTAAATGTGTGGAAGGAGGGAAGGGTTTTAAATATGGAGTTTAAAGCCAGATTTGCAGTATACTGCCTATTATACCTGGCTCAAATTCTACATTGTTCAATCATTATCATAAGAGGGTGAGTTAGGTACTGGTTTGCTATATTTTCACATTTCTTTTTTATTATGACTGCTATTTTGAGGCCCCACCTGTTCCTTTTGTGGATCTACCTGTGCTAGCTATATTTCTAGCTGAAGTGAAGGCAGTGAAGGAGGGCTGATAATGAGGAGTTCATGTTGTTAGTGAAACACTGCATTCAGTCCGTGAGCACAAAGCCTGGTAGTTTTTTGGGGTCTTTTTGCACACAACAACAAGGATTTAGAAGTGGCCCGTACGTGGGAATCAGTGGTCCAGGCCTAGGGGAAACTAGCACAGTGCGGACTTTGAAACTGAGCTTAAGGGATCCCCAGAGCTTCTCCAAGGCTCCCCCAAACCCCAATCCAAACACACCTTTTAAACAGTTACTTACACAATGTGGGATTCTGATGTTTTGTGTGTGTGCGTGTTTCTTAAGGTCATTTAATTGGGGCTTCTTATAGGTCTTATAACAATCCTTACATCCATCCAACAATCCATAACAAATATAGAAGCCTATTTGTACGTATGTTACCATCATTATTTTCTAAACATTTACTTTATATTTGACCCCTTGGTATCAGCTCCTCTACTCCTCCCCCACACTTGTGAGCCTTTGATAAATTATTATTATTTTCACACCTTTTACCGACTGCTGTCTCTCTTCCCCCACAGTTTCTTCCCCCCTCCTCTTTCCTTCTCCCCCCCTACTCTCCTGGTATCGCTACTCCTATTTCTGTTCCTGCGGGGCTTATCTGACCAGGATTCCACGTGTAGTGAGCTCTTATTTGTACTACTCTACATGCTCTGGTCTAGCCCACAGTGTAAGTTAGGATTGGGGTCATGTTAGTGGGGGGTGAGGAAGCCTCAGGAGCCAGAGGAATATTGTGGTTCATCGGTGCTATACTGAGCCCTGGTGACTCATCCCTTCCTTGTGACCCTTTTGTAAGGGGATGTCCCATTGTCTACAGATGGATTTGGGGTCTGTGCTCTGACCCCCTCGCCCTCAACATTATGTTTTTTTTTTGTTTTGTTTTGTGTCATGTTGTATCTTCTGATGCCTGTTACCTGATTCTGATGGGGGTTTATTTTAAAACTTGATTTTCTGTTTAAAAACAAACAACAACATGCAAATGAAGCGCAGTAAGGAACTTGGGAAGTTCCACTGCTATGATAAACAAAGGTGCTTAGTCCCAAATTTAATGGGTTATTACAATTGTCAGGTGGGCACAATAAGCCAAAACAACAACAATTAAGGCTTAAAGGGACAAGTGGTTTTTTTTTCCTTCCCTTTTTTAATCACATGTGTCTGAGCTTTAAGTTCAATTCAATTGACTAAGCATTTACTGATCTCTGTAATACCCCAAACTGGAGCCCTGGTGGTGTAGTGGGTTACATTTGGGGCTGCTAACTGCAAGGTTAGCAGTTCAACTCCACCAGTCACTTCTAGAGAGAAAATTGAGGCTTTGTGCTCCCATATAGATTTATAGCCTTGGAACCCCAAAAGGGAGTTCTTCTTTGTTCCTTAGGGCCGCTATGAGTCAGAGCCGACTTGAAGGCTGTGAGTTGTGTCTGTTTTTGTCTTATACGACCCAGAGTCCACTCGGAAGATTGACTTGGTGATTTGCTTCCGAGAGGTCACAGCCCTGTATACCCTATGAAGCAGTTCCACTTGGCACATTTGGGTCATCAGGAGCTAGAATTGACTTGGCAACCAACATCATTATATTCTGAGTACTGAGCTAACATCTTAGATCTTTCCTAAGGGAGCTGAAACTTTGGTGTATTTTAATCATGAAATGATGTTTTAGTTCAGATATGCCAGGTGACTTTATTTTTCTTCAGAGAAGAGCTGGGAGGCTTTGACTTAAGAGGAGATATATTCATTCTAAGCCACCCCTTGGTAACTTGAGAACAGGCTCCGTATAGTTTCTGCACGCCTTCTTCCTCCTCCTCTTTCTTAGCTCCCCATCCCCACAGGAATTTTTAAAAGCAAAGAAGCAAAAAGGATAGCTAACATTTAAATTTGGATGGAAGGGATCTTGGTGGCAGAGCTACATGCTACGCTGCTAACCTCAAGATCAGCAGTTCAAACCCGTCATGCGCAGAAGAGACGGGGCTTTCTGTTCCCTGCTCCTGGAAGGATCTACAGCCTTGGAAGCCCACAGGGCAACTCTACTCTGTCCTATGAGCTGGTATTGGTCTGATGGCAGTGATCTTGGTTCCGGTTTGAGTTGGTTTACATACCTGTCAAAAAGTGTTTGGGATTTCCGTTTAGGGGGTCGAAGCCATGTACAGTAGTTAAAAGAGAAGGAGGACTCTGGAGCTAGCTTGCTTGGTTTGAATTTTGCCTCTGCTACTTTCTAGCCCTTCCTTTGTGCGACTCATCTTCTTGTGCTTCAGTCTCTTTGTTTGTAAAGTGGGCATGTGGACAATGGGACTCACCTTATGGAATTTAATGAATTAGTACCTGGCACACAGTAAATGTTATATAGATAATGTATTGGAATGAAGGGGGACTTCAAAAAGTTTGTGGATAAATGGAATGAAAATTAATGGAACTTTTCTACACACTTCTCTGCTTGAAGCTCCGTGTGTAGGTCTCTCTCTCTAGGTGTATAGACCTTCTTGTTCTTACCCATTTGCTTTGTCACGTTTGTTTTCAGAATGTCAAGCCCGATAAAGAGATTGTTGTGGACATGATAATGTTCCTGTGGCAGAGATGCAAATCGGGGGTTCAGCGGATCAGTGTGTCCAAGAGTGACTATTCCAAATTCTTCCAGAAAATCAGTACTAACAAAGTATCCTTTTTTGTATATTCTTTTCATATATATCTATTGTTGACATGTATTAGTACACATTTCAAAATTAAACAGTCTTTATTCAACTGTATAATAACCATCATTTGCATATGTATATGTTAAGTAAAAGATGTTGCTCAGTGAGCCTTTCATTTAATGTGTGTACCTTTTTAATGTGCCACTCCTACCCCAGCATTGTTTGTATGGGGAGCAGCGTGGTGGTGGTGGTGGTAATTTGAGAGAGGAATAAATATATCACATGCTAAGGTCACGTGAAGGGTCTCTGTCAGTGTTAAGGTTAAGTGCTTACTGCTAACCTAGAGTTGAGTGGTCTGAACCCACTAGCAGCTCTGTGGGAGAAAGCTGTAGCAGTCTGTGCCTATAAAGATTGACAGGCTTGGAAACCCAATGGGGCAGTTCTACTCTGCCCTGTAGGTTTGCTGTGGGACAGAATTGACTTTGGGTTGGTACCTGGATAACATTTCCATGTGGTTTGATCATGCCAACTTTATGTAAATAGTAAGTTTGGAAAAAATGCGAAATTTTCTCCAGTGTCATCCACTATGAACTGATTTTGCTCTTTCCTCTTTTTAGTGGGTCTATCTTCTGTGGCAGATAAATGAAATCATTCACTCCTACAAAATGGACGGCATTGACATTGTGATGGCTGCAGAGATCACACTACGATTATGTGAAATATTGGAATCCTTGGGAAGCCCAACAAGAAAATTTAAAAAGTCTATAGGTAAAATGTTGAATGAACAGCCTATGAATATACATACACAGACTGATTTCTAAGTGTAAATTGGAATACAGTACAGGAAACTTGTACTAATGTAAGCTAAGCCTTTCCTCAGTGTGCTGCAATGACTATTTATAATCAGGAATAGAAACAAGAGAGGAGGCTTATCCATGGATGGCAGAAAGAGCAGGTTGCATGCTGTATGGGCAGTGGCAGACAGAACTCTGGCTTTTTGTCCCCTTTCCCCAATCTTCATGATCACTATTCCTCCTCTTTTTCCTCTTCCTTTTTCCCTTTATCAGCCCTGCTTTGTCCCCTTTCCTATTTCTTTCTCTTCTATTTCCCCATAATGTGTATGCTATTTGAAGGAAGAGAGCATGCCGTGGTCCCAATTATACCCTTGGTCCTCACTGCCTGGAGTTTAAAGATTTATTGGATGTCTCAATATCCTTGCACTGTTTATCTCCTTATGAAAATCTCCTTTCTCTCTCATCCCCTCCTCTTTCCAAGTTTCTTCACATTTATTAATTTCTTCTTACCCTCTTCTTTTGCCTTTTTTCACACTCCCACTTTCCCAGTCCCAACTCCTTTCTGCTACCATTCTATTTTCCTCTGAACGGAAGATGCTGTGGGGAGGAAGGTGTAAGAGGCCTGATAGGTCTTGATCAAGGGCAATGTAACTGAGAGGAATTACTGGAACCCAAATGAAGGCTGAGCATTGATAATGGGACAAGAGGAAAGTCAAAGGAAATAGAGGAAAGAGGTGGGAGGCAAAGGGCATTTATAGAGGTCTAAATGCTGGCATGCACATGTGTAAATATATTTATATATGAGGATGGGGAAATAGATCTATGTGCATATATTTATAGGGTTAGTATTAAGGGCACAGGTGGATATTGGGCCTCCACTCAAGTACTCCCTCAATGCAAGAACACTTTTGTTCTATTAAGCTGGCATTCCATGATGCTCACCTTCTCGACATGATTGCTGAAGACAAAGCAGCTGCATAAGCAAATGTGGTAAAGAAAGCTGATGGTGCCCAGATATCAAAAGATATAATGTCTGGGGTCTTAAAGGCTTGAAGATAAACAAGCAGCCATCTAGCTGAGAAGCAACAAAGTCCACATGGGAGAAGCACACCAGCCTGTGTGATCACGAGGTGTCAAAGGGATCAGATATCAGGCATCAAAGAACAAAAATTCCTATCATTGAGAATGAGGGACAAGTGTGGAGTGGGGACCCAAAGCCCATCTTTAGACAACTGGACATCTCCTTACAGAAGGGTCGCGGGGAGGAGATGAGCCAGTCAGGGTGCAGTATAGAACCGATGAAACATATAACTTTCCTCTAGTTCTTAAATGCTTCCTAACCCCAGTTATCATGATTCCAATTCTATTTTACAAATCTGGCTAGACCAGAGGATGTATACTGGCACAGATAGGAACTGGAACACAGGGAATCTAGGACAGATGAACCCTTCAGGACCAGTGGTAAGGGTGGCGATACTGGGAGGGTGGAGGGAGGGTGGGGTAGAAAGGGTGAACCAATTAAAAGGATCTACATATAATCCCCTCCCTGGGGGATGGACAACAGAAAAGTGGGTGAAGGGAGACATCAGACAGTGTAAGACATGACAAAATAATTTATAAATTATTAAAGGTTCATGTGGGTGGGAGGTGGGGTTGGAGGGGAAAAATGGGGAGCTGATATCAAGGGCTCAAGTAGAAAGCAAATGTTTTGAGAATGATGATGGCAACAAATGTGTTTGACACAGTAGATGCATGTATGGATTGTGATAAGAGTTGTATGAGCCCCCAATAAAATGACTAAAAAAAAAAAAAGATGCTGTCTCACAGAGGGTGGTTCCTTGTCTTTCCCTGTGTTGGTGGTTACACCCTTTGGCTCCCTGTCTCCCGACGTAGAAAACAAGCTGCGTACCCAGCCGCCATTCCCCTTGGCTAATGGAGTGTGTGCGTGAGACCTGAGGACTTTGTCATAAAGCTGTGTCCCAGGGAGGTCCTAAATTGTTCAGAGTTGTTTTGCAGATGAGGTTTAGAGCCATGTTTTTTAGACTTTGATGGGTCACCTGAGAGATAATACAAGTCCAGGCTGAGCCCTTATTCTGCATGAGCTAGCCTGGTCCAGTCTAGGCTTCATTCGCTCTCCAGGTGATTTCAATACAGAGCAACGCTCGAGACCCATTGGTTAGATGTCTTCACGGACATCTAGCTTGTTCAGGAGCCTGATGGTATATTTTTGATGTGCCCTACCTTAAAACGCTTCCTGCTTTTTAAACTTTTTGTAGGCAGGATTTCACACATAAACCAGACAGATGAAATTAGCCACTATGCATCCACCACCCGCTCTAACAATTTGCCAATCTTTTAAATTTTCTCCCTGTAGCACTCCCCAATTTCATAGAATTTAAAAAACAAGACTGATGACCCATGACTGTTTTTAGACAATGAAGTCGTCGTTGCTAAGTGCCATTAAGTTGGCTCCGACCCTGAAACGGAATACTGCCCGGTCCTGTGCCATCCTCACAATTGTTCCTGTGCCTGAGCCCATCTATGCAGCCACGGTGCCACTTCATCTCCTTGGGGCCTTCCTCTTTCCCACCACCCCTCCACTTCACCAAGCATGATGTCCTTCTTCAGGGACTGGTCTTTCCTGACAACATGTCCAAAATATGTCATACGAAGTCTTGTCATCCTTGCCTCTAAGGAGCACTCTGATCTTACTTCTTCCAACACAGACCAGTGTGTCCTTTGAACAGTCCATGGTACTTTCAGTATTCTCCAGCACCACAATTCAAATACATCGATTCTGCTATGGTCTTCCTTATTCAATGTCCAACTTTTATATCTATATGATGCAACCTGGATCAGGTGCACCTGATTTCTCAAAGCAACATCCTTGCTCTTCAATGCTGTTTTAAAGAATAATTTTATTGGGGGCTCGTACAACTCTTATCACAATCCATATATCCATCCATGTGTCGAGCACATTTGTACATTTGTTGCCATCATCATTTTCAAAACATTTTCTTCCTACTTGATCCCTTGGTATCAGCTCCTCATTCCCCCCTCTCCTTTCCCCCCTCCTTTCCTCATGAATCCTTGATAATTTATAAATTTTTTCATGTCTTATTTTTTCATGCCTTACACTGTCTGATGTCTCCCTTCACCCACTTTTCTGTTGTCCATCCCTCAGGGAGGGTGTTATATGTAGATCCTTGTGATCGGTTCCCCCTTTCTCTCCCACCTTCCCCTTCCCCTCCTGTTATCACTACTCTCAATATTGGTCCTGAGTGGTTTATTTTCCCTGGATTCCCTGTGTTTCCAGCTCTTATCTGTACCTGCGTACTGCTCTGCTCTAGCCGGATTTGTAAAGTAGAATTGGGGTCATAGTGGGGTCGGAGGAGGAAGCATTTAGGAATTAGAGGAAAGTTGTATGTTTCATCGTTGCTGTACTGCACCCTGACGGGCTCTTCTCCTTTCCATGACCCTTCTGTAAGGGGATGTACAATTGTCTACAGATGGGCTTTGTGTGTCTACTCTGCACTCCTCCTCATTCACAATGATATGATTTTTTGTTCTGGGTCTTTGCTGCCTGATACCTGATCCCATCGACACCTCATGATCACATTGGCTGGTGTGCTTCTTTTATGTGGGCTTTGTTGCTTCTCAGCTAGATGGCCGCTTGTTTATCTTTGCTCTTCAGCACTTTTAAAAGAGGTTCTGTGCAGCAGATTTACCTAATGCAATATGCTTTTACTGTTTCCATGAGCATTGATTGTGGATCCAAGCAAGACAAAAGAAACCATTTCCTCTTCAGTCACATTTCAAGTGCTCTTGGACCTGAGGGGCACCTGCCCATCTCTGACAATATTCTGCTTCCTTTGTTTAGACGTTCAATATTTGAACATGCGTTAAAGCTATGCATAAGGTTTTCAGGTGCTTCTTCCTCTGAAGTGAGGAACCGAGTTCTTCTTCACAGTCTGTTCTTAGTCTGGAAGCTCTGCTGAAGCCTGTTCACTTTGGGTGACCCTGCTGGCATCTGAAATACCAGTGACATGGCTCCAGCAACACACAGGCCACCACAGTATGACAAACTGGCAGTGGAGAAAATAAAGAACAATGCCATTATTATTGTACCTTAAAAAATTAGCCATAATTCCTGCACTTCTAATTGTATTTTTAAAATGAAGGCAGTCTCCTTCAAGATGTTTGTTAAGTAATACTTTATTAGTTTAGTTTGAATTGTATACATTTTAAGATTAAGTGATCACTGCCATGTTGGTCATATTTATTATTTATATTTCTTTAATTCTAACCAGCCTTTCCTGGTATTTGTCTAAATTTATTTTTCTAAAATAGTGCCGCTATTTAAAAATGCTTTTAAATGGGCTTTATCAGAGATACAAGAAGACCTTTGTCTTGTTCATATGCAAGTTTCTTGATTTTGTTGTATTGCAAGATGCTTTGAAAATGTCCTGTATAAAGTAAAAAAATTATGTGAAAGAAACAAGTAGGACGTCGGACAGGGCAAGATATGACAAAATAACAATTTATAAACTATTAAGGGCTCATGAGGGAGCAGGGAGCGGGGAAGGAGGGGAAAAATGAGGACCTAATGCCGGGGGCTTAAGTGGAGAGGAAATGTTTTCAGAATGATGAGGGCAATGAATGTACAAATACGCTTTACACAATTGATGTATGTATGGATTGTAATGAGTTGTATGAGCCCCTAATAAAATGATTAAAAAAAAACCAAGCAGGTATTTAATGAACTGCAGTATTGGATTATTTCTAAGATCATGGGTAATTAAAAAGATAATCAATTTATGTTAACTTTTTATGATTATGACTTGCTACTAAATTTTCATCCTTTTCTCTCATCTCATCTTCTTTGCCTTTCTGTGCCCTGCCTACTCCTCCATCTCATCCACCGTTTCTTTTTCATTCCTACATCTCTTCTTCATCTTTCCTCTCCCTCCCTCC